AAGTTAATGAAAAAGTGAGAATTGATATTGATGAAAGTGTAGAGGAGACACCGGAAGAAGTGAACCCGTCCAAGGAACACGTGATTGACATGTCGGAACCGGTGGTGCAAAAGGGTAAGGCACCAAGGCCAAGGCCTCCTCCTCCGTACCCTCAAAGGCTTGCAAAGCAAAACAGTGAGAACCAATTCAAAAAGTTTATTGATATGATGAAGAGTTTGTCCATAAATGCATCGTTGGTTGAAGCCTTGGAATAAATGCCGGGCTATGCAAAATTCATGAAGGACTTGGTAACCAAGAAGATATCGATGAATTGTGAAACCATTAAGATGACACATCAAGTGAGTGCAATTGTGCACTCAATGGCTCCTAAGTTGGAAGATCTGGGTGCTTTCACAATCCCTTGCACTATTGGGAGCGCCGATTTTGCCAAAGCTTTTATGTGATCTCGGGGCAAGTATCAACTTGATGCCCTACTCGGTGTTCAAAACCTTGAGAATTGGGCAACCAAGACCCACATCCATGAGGTTGCAAATGGCGGATCGTACAATGAAGATTCCATTGGGTATTATTGATGATGTGTTGGTTCGTGGTTACAAGTTCATCCTCCCGGCGGACTTTGTGATTCTTGATTGTGAAGTAGACTATGAGGTGCCTATCATTTGGGTAGACCTTTCCTTGCTAAAAGGAAGGCTTTTGTTGATGTGGAAGCCGGTGAGCTCACTTTTCGGGTGGGTGACGAAAAGGTGGTCTTCCATGTGTGCAAATCTATGAGGCAACCGAATAGTAATGAAGTTTGTTCGTTCGTGGATTTGGTGACGGATGTGATTGTTGATGATACTAGTGCCACAATGAATGTTGAGGACAAATTGGAAGTTGTGTTGCTCAATCTTGATGATGATGAGGAGAGTGATAGCTATGTGGAATGTGTGAATGTATTGCAAGGAATGGGGTCGTACACTTATGAACCCCGCAAGCTATCCTTGGATCTTGAGAACCGGAAGACTCCTCCAACAAAGCCCTCAATCGAGGATCCTCCCACATTGGAGTTATAGCCATTGCCTCCACATCTCAGGTATGAATTCCTTGGCCCTTCTTCAACTTTACCGGTTATTCTTTCCTCTTCTTTGACTAACATGCAGGTAGAGTCCACATTGGAGGTGCTACAAAGGAGGGAAAGAGCAATCGGTTGGACATTAGCAGACATATGGGGCATAAGCCCGCCTTTTGCATGAACATCAATGGAGTTTAAATGAAGCAATGCAATAGGTGGTGAAGAAGGAGGTAATCAAGTGGTTGGATGCTGGGGTTGTTTACCCCATTTCCGGTAGCTCGTGGACCTCTCCGGCGCAATGTGTCCCAAAGAAAGGGGGCATGACTGTGGTAACAAATGATAAGAATGAATTCATCCCCGCAAGAACCGTCACCGGGTGGAAAGTGTGCATGGACTATAGGAAGCTCAACAAATTCACTCGGAAAGATCATTTCCCGCTTCCATTTGGACAATATGGGATGAATTACAACAGAATAGGACCCCTCTATTTATAGGGAAAGAGTGACTTAGCCACCAAGTAAAATCCCTACAATCTCTCTAAAACATAGACATTCACCTTAAATAAAACTCTATTTATAATACTCCCCCTTGAATGTCTATTCAATAGATAATGTGCCTCGTTAAAGCCTTAACTAAAATAAAACCCAGTGAAAAAAATTCCAGTGAAGGAAAAAGAGTACACATATCTAACAATATGCTTTTTGGTTGCCTCGTTAAAAACTTGCAAGAAAAACCCATTGAGACAAAACCTTGTAAGGGAAAAAGAGTACAACGCGTATTAACTCCCCCTGATGAGAGCATTCACATCCTTGAGCCTTCGCATTCCAATCTTGTGCACTAGCTTCTTGAAGGTTGACGTTGGCAGAGATTTGAAGAATAAAATAGCCATATTAACTCCAATGAATATGTTGCACCTTGAAAATCCTCGCTATCACATTATCATGCTTATAGTTATAGCAAGATACATATGTGCGCAAATAACACTTAGGATATGGTACTTCAGGACCAAGAATTGTATATGCTTCAAGCGATTTAAATCCTTCAAGGATTGTTATATAAGTTGAGTCACATAATACACTTTAATTAGATGCATATCAAGTTTTCATGTCATGCTAGACAAATAAGATATCGAAAACTGATTGCACATATCATTGACTTTATACTTTCAAGTGTTTTAATTACATGTCCAAAACTACATGTCTTTCATATGAAACCAATTCTATTTGAATTGTGTGTCTTCTATTTGGACAATATTTTTGTGTCTGTATTCGACAGACTTGAGGTCCTCATCTATACTTAGCGTTATAATAGATGTCGTCGGCGAACATTTTATATCGATTCCAATATTTTTTTCATAAAGACATAACATAAATTTTTTCATAAAGACATAACATAAAGATCTCTTCATTCATATTTTCAGGTACCTGAACCTCTCCTGAGATTTTATGAAGTGTTATGTCATGTGATCTTCTAGATCACTTGCCTCCTTATCATGATCATTTTGATCATTTGCTCATCCTCTTTATCAAAAATTTTATTTGAAACCGTTTTGTCTATACACTTTAAGCATACTTAGACTTTGTCCTTCTAGGACTTATTCTAATAGGAGCATTTTCAGTGAGAATATATTTACTTTCTTTGGGTCAGCAAATGCATCTGGCATGCTTTCCATGTAACTTTTTCTCAACTTTGTATCATGTCTCCTCCTCATGTTAGAAAAATTAACTTGCTTCCTCAACTTTGGAAACTCATCTTTGTGCATTATGGTGCTAATCAAAATACACACTGCACATTAATAATAATAATACGATGGAATTATTTGGTTCTTGACCCTGAATCACTTGTGAGGGGAGAATGTAATATACTTTCGTATATAACGTATATCAAACTGATTAGATAACTTTGTTCTCATAAGCAATAGTTTAACTATTAAGTAGAGGCACTCAATAAATCATCTTGTTAAACCAGTTGTGATGTAAACCAACTTATCAATATAAATTATCTTGAATAGAAAATTTGAAAATTATGCTCTAAATTAAATTATTGAGCAAGTTACCTCGCAAACACCAGGTTGCGGGTTAATAATATTCGCACATGTAATCATCTCATAGATGCATCTTATGTGGTATACATGGCAGGTGAATGAGCCCATATTCACCTTTGATATTTCCAGTATTCATGGGATTCAATCCCAATTTTAATTGGTTTATTAATTAATGAGAACAACATAAGAGAGTTCGTACCGGATTTTCTAGTTCTTTAATATTTATCCATGTAAATTCTCTTTTATTTTTGCACATCACACTTAAATTAACATGGCTAAACCAATTATGCCAGCTGAATAAATTATCAATATTGAAGTTTAAATTTACACCATGACGTGTGCAATTATCAATAAACTCCAAATTTATTATGATATGGGTTTTTATATCAATAAACATCCACTTTATTGTGGTATTCTTTTATTTGTGTAGTACAAACTAGAGAATAAAGCGGGTAACTTTTCACATATATATTACCCAGCTACAAGTTGTAGTAATAGAAGATATTAAATTTTTCCTTTATTTATAGTCTCAATATAACCAACCGCTTTCGCGAATACTTTAGAAACTCAATTAAGTTTCTTTGAGACTTACTACGACACCATACCTTATTGATAATCAATTTTATTTCTCCAAAGTAGTATAATTGGCTTTTCTAGAGCTTTCAATTAATTTTGTACTACCACATATTTATCAACATCTATATGGTGAATATCTCTTTCAAGGAGAAAGTTATATCATTATGGTCATGGTCAAAATCATTATAGGCAAGATATGTTGCTTCTATTACTTTTGCCCTGTAATAATCACATTGCCATAATATTTTGGCATAATCACAATCGGTACGTGATCAATGACCATTCATGCCATAATAATGAAATTATCTTCTTATTTCATCTCAAACCTCTTTCAAGAGGTGAGTGTGGTATATTTACTACCACTAGCACGTTCATATTTTTTTAAGAATGAATATGTATTCATAAATCACATGTTGTTACATTCACATCATGAATGGACCATAATCATCTATATGTACTTTATAAAATCACATGTCAAATCAATGACAAATATTACTTTCACAAAGTGAAGGATTATTTTGAGAATCCTTATTGATCTCGTTACCACAATGATGACGATTATAATTTCGTCAATTTCTACGTCCACATCCATTGATACATTCATAGTAATAATTTTGTCTTCTTTCCGACTTATCACATACTGCTATTACATTCTCTTAAGGGAATAAAAATGAAGCAAATTCGACGGGACGAGTTTCTAATTCTTTGCCCACAATCATACATGAATTTGATCATGGCAAGTCATAGAAATTTTACCACTTTAGGTGGTTATAATTCTTTCAAACTCCACTAGAGTTACAATCAAAATTTATCGTCTTTACTTGTATTTAAAATCAAATTATAGAATGTCAAGAATTCAAAAGAGAAAAATAAAGTAAAATACTTACCTTAAATCAAGAATTTAATCATGAATGAAGTTCATGGAACAATTGACAATCATTATGCTCAATCCCAAAGCTTCTACTCAATTGGTTAGAGTCTCGTGCTGATAACGTGTTATAAAAGAATAAAAGAAGAAGAAGATTATTGCAGAGAAAAATACGGAGAAAGAATTCTTATTGATTTGGGATAAATTACAATGGAATATGACCCCTCTATTTATAGGGAAAGAGTGATTTAGATACCAACTAAAATCCATACAATCTCTCTGAAATATAGACATTCACCTTAAAAAAACTCTATTTATAATAATAACCATAAACAAATCTATATCTATATATATACTATATTAAAAGCACGAAGGTTCTTACCCAAATATCGTTTGCCTTTTTTGACTTTAAAAAATAAATTTTACGCGAGACATAATAGTCATTTTAAACAAAACAGTTGTTCAAGACGACCAAACGAAGGGCGAGAGAAGAGAGAAGTCCAGTCGTTGCCACTCTGGTCATCTCTATTCTCTGCGCCTTTGATTTTCAGCTCTGCATCTCAAAAGACAATCCTCTGCAATTTGTTTCTCTTTTCTAACATAAACGCCACTATGATTTTTGTGGGTGGAGTTCCTTTCCCTACAGATGATTCTTCTTCTTCTTCTTCTCAGTCTCAGGTATAGTCTAACTTCTTTTATTTTATTTTATTTTAATTTAACAAAAATCCAACTTCAGGTATAGGTTCAATCTTAATTGAGGGTTGCACCCACTTATGAATCTTTTACAACTAATCCCTTCTTCACCCTTGAGATAAATGTGTCTTCTACAATATATGGTTGATTTATAGTAATGCTGTTGTCCTCTAATCTGTAAAGACTCCACCTTTTTCCCCTTTTATCCTTTTTGGGGGGTTAAATTTGTTCATATTCGGTATGTTGATTGATTATTATTTTGTTCATTCTTTTGGACTTAGATTGTCTAAAGAATCAATTTGGTTGAGTAGAGAAAAAGACTTTCTGTTGTTATCTGTACATTGCATTAAAAAGGGACTGTTTGGTTTGGATTGTTACATTTGACATACTCAGTTTCTTTATTCCAGTTAAATTACGTAGTAATCTTTGAGATATGATTATTGTTATTATTCTTGAAACAGACTCATAATCTTATCAATTTTTAGACAATAAATAATCAGAATCAATTTATAATCTAATCCAGTGGTTAGAACAGTGTCAGGCGGAGTATTTATCACAGGCAAATATTTTTGGCGATGCATATATAACTGATGTGCCATTCACCAATTTTAATTGATTTAGATATATCTGAGGAGGTTGCTTTTAGTGAGTCCTATTAACCAACAAGATTAGTTTCACAGGGAGTCTTTATCAATATTGAATCTGAAATCTCATTACGTCAAACTTTTTCTCTGTATTACAATGGATACAAAGTCCCGTTTTCTGTTTTTATGTAGCTACTTAATAAGAACATCCTATATGAACAGGAACATGACATCCTGACGGCTTTAATGGAGCATCCAGTTTTGGTATCTGCCTCGTCTTCATTGAATGATGTTGAAGAAAGGAAGTTCTCTGCTTCTAAAGACTCTAGTTTGAGTATATTAAGACATAATAGATGGGTTTACATTTTCCAGAGAGAATATGCAACTGTGGATCCTGCACTTGTCGATGTATGTTCATGCTTTCTATAACAATCCTACTGAAGTGACATCTGACCTTGTTTCTCATCCTTTCTCCCCATTTGGATTTCTTCCTTCTTTTTTCATAGTCCCAGACTTGCAGTTGCAGGAGAGAAGTTGATTTAAAGGAGCTTTTCTTGTCTGATCTGTCTTTATCGCCCACTTTTCGTGCCACAATATGCTGATTGCTGCATATTACCTAATCTTTCTAAATAGTTAGAGAAGGCATTGCCTATAACTATCAGGTTTAGCACTATAAAATTGGGCAAGGCTGTGAGTATCTGTGTGCTAAACGTGCCCATTGCTGCAAGAAAAAATATTTTATGCTCAACAAAAGGGAAGTAGTAGACCATAAATTAGCCTTAACAGTTGAGAGTGTAATTGCCTAGAGGGAAAGCGATGCATTTGGATGATCAGATTGAATATTTTGCACGAGGGCAATGCAGTCCTCAGTCTGCCGGATGGTAAAATGCATTATGTTATTCCATATGTGCACCTTGCAGATATACTTGGATCTAAGATGTCCACTATGCTTATGGTGTGCTGATTCAGGTGTTCTGTGTTAGCACTTGTTATTTCCCTTTCAAGTACTTGGACTCTCTTCCGGACACTTTCCTGATCCTGTCTAATTGAAGCATCCATGCTCAAATCTCCTCTGTCCACCGAGAGTTTATAGCTTTAAGAGATTCATCTGCATTGCTGGGATGCATCTGTTAAACCTCTTTCTGCTGACTATTGTGTGCCTCATCCTTATTCTTATCATTTTGGAGAACTTCTGTTTTCATCATCAGGAATAATTGTGATCTTGTGATGACATTCTAAAGGTTTTGTCTTGGCATAACTAAGAGTTCTCCGGTACATCTCTGTCAAATTATTTCTCTTTTAATTACTGTCTTAGCATTTCTGTCTTCTATAGCAGAAGTTAGAGGGATATGTTTGATGGTGGGCCATGTGGTTTCTCTTGAATGTATTTCTGCTTCATAGGTCACTTAGGGCAGGCCGATGCACAAAGCATTCCACGTTGAAGAGAAACCACATGGCCCACGCTGCACCTCAAGTGGTCATTTATGTAAAAATAATTCCAACTTACTGAAAGTTGTTGCAATTTCTGTTTGTGTTTACGTTGAAGAGCACATTTCTTGACCATTCCATTTCTCAAACAATGTTGATCTACTGCAGCAATTTTTTTCAAAAATTTCCACTCTTTTCTGCTGAAGTTCTAAAAGATTTCCTTTGTTCTTGAACATAGGCGGTTGGCACGGATGAGGCAACAACTTGTGTAGGCATTGTCATAAGAAACCAAAAAAGTGGAATGTAAGAGAAACTATTTAGACAGGACGTCATTATTTGCAGTACAATGCTGCTTAAGTCTAACTATTGTGATTGTGACTTCGCCACAGGATATCTGTTGCTCACTTGGATTCACCAGATATTGTTGATGTTGGCCTAGACCAGATGTTGGCATCTGTTGTCAATCAAAGCTCAGATGCCATGTTGGATGTATTCTTCTCTAATCCTTGATGTCTAACAACATTAGTAACTCACTTTTTTAACTCTTTACTCACTTTGGATGTTGACATTGGATGGGTATAATATGCAGGTTCATCTAATTGGTGGCTTTGATGATGGCTCGCCTAAAGTCTGGCCAAGACTCCGCTTTTCTTTTGATTTTCAGTGAGATAGTGAGTCATCTAGAGGCTTAATGAAGCTGAATCTGTTGGGCTTTTTATGCAGCATGTTAATGGTATTACGGAAGGTCATGCAGAATTGGAGGGCTATTCCTTCCCTTTGTGCAAGAAAATAGTTGAAAGCCTGGCAAAGAGTAATATGAAGTTCCAGATTCACACTCTTCATGTTCTTGGGCACAATACAAGACGAGATTCTGAAGGAAATTCATACCCCATCTTCTCTGGTTTGCTGGTAAGCTCTATTTGGATTTCAGTTTAGTTTATAGCGCTGATGATCACAGGACAAGGGAGGGAAAGCTTAGTGGTAAAATCACCAATGGAGCAAAGTGGGAAAAGACTGATTATCCGGCTCCTGGGTAGGGGGGTTCACCATTTCAGAAAAAAGATAGCCTTTATTATGCAGTCATGATACCTCAATATTCCAAGATGCAATGTCCAAAAGGAGATGTCTGTTCAATGGATACAAAGACTTCAAGGTGGAGAAGTTCATCGAAAGTTGAGCTTTAGAAGGAACTTGCAAGATTGGGAGGTAACATGATTCCAAAGGTTGATTGAGCTGCTTTATAAATAAAGTGTGCCACAGGCTCGCTATGATGTTTGGAGAGGGGGTAGGGAATAATGGCGTTTTTTCTGTTAAGTCCTATTGTGAATCTTTTGGGTAGTGGGGAATCTTCTTTTCCATACCTCTCGGTGGATCCCTAGGGTTCTGAGAAAGATGTGCTTTTCACGTGGCTAGCTGCGATGGGGGTAATCTTGACGGGTGAGAATCTGAGGAAGAGGACACATGTGTGAGCAGGACCTTAACAGAAATCCAGGCACAGCTAATCTTGCTGGATGGCGTCTCGCTGTTAAGGTACAGCTAACAGAGGACACATCAGAGAAATCCAGGCACAGCTAACAGAGGACACATCAGAGAAGTTTTGTTTAGCTGGACCTTTAGTGGATGAAAGAGAAGACACATGGCGTGGGATGTTGCTTCACTAGCACTTATGTGGACCATATGGAGAGAGAGAAAGTAGGAGAGCTTTTGAAGGAATAGAGAAAGATTTTGTTCACTTGAGGAATAGCCTCTTATCCCTTGTTTCTTTTTGTTGCACCCATGAGGTTTCCGTAAGTGTAGAGGACTCTGTGTCAACAACAACATATCTAGTGTAGTCCCACAAGTGGGGTTCTAGAGGACTCTGAGTCGTTTGTAGAAAACCATATCTTTTTGTAAGGTTTTCTACTTTGGGTATACTTCTTGTATACGGGTTTTTTTCCCAATTCTTAACAAAATCTTATTACTTGATTAAATAAAAGAAGTCAAGAACGGATACATATAGAGAAGGAAAGTAAACATTAACTAACACGATAAGGAGAAAGATTTATTGGGTTTTCTCGCCATTACTGACTGGCATGTTGAAAACATCCAGGGGATTATGGATTGAGCCTTGAGTCAGTCGGCTGATCATCAATACTTTTTGGTTCTCCTCTGTAACAAAGAAACAATTGTTCGAGTATAATTTTCCCAGCAACTGCAGATCTTTTTAGAGTGGAGATTCTTAAATTTTTCAAAATTTCATTTGCTTAGGTGGAAACTGCCACTGGGTCTATTTTTCCAGCAAGCTTTGATGCAACAACAAGATGTCCTGATGAAGTTGTTAGGAGAATACGAGTGACTGCAGCTTTTGAGGACCGTAGTTGGGAAGGAAGATTATTAGAGACATATGATACTCAGAATGACCAATTCGGGATTGCTCCATGCACTTGGTAAAACTGCTTACCTTTGGATTCTTTATTTATAGTTTTACTGCTTTTCAACATTAACTCATGATTTATATTTCTTATCCTGTCATGTCATTTCTCAGTTTGTCGCCTTCCCTGAATTCGTTATAAGCTACTTTGTCAGCTAAATTCCTTCTCTATATTTTAATTTTGTTTAGATGAACTGCAAGAGTAATATATAGATACATAACTACACCAGCTGAGACACTAGTGAACTATATACCACCTGAGACACTAGTGACTAACTTTAACTTAACTAACTTAAGCAGGGAAAAAAAAGATTATGACTTCTAACAATTGATAAAACCTACAGAAGTGGGACAATTGGTATTAAAAAGCACCATTGTCATCGAATCTGTGATCTATTGGTTACACATTTTTTGTTTGCCTATGCCACTAAAGCTAGGCCTCTTTGATGTTTTAAATATATCTCCTAATGAACTCCATTTTTATTGACATAGGAGCATGCGTAAGATACATATAGCGCTCATGCTACAGAATTTATCTGACCAAGAAATCCTTCTTACATGTTCCACTTCTCCTTCTGCCGAGGCTCCAGATTTCGTGGATGGCCTAAAAAGGTACTACAATAGTTCCAAAATTATGACACACTAGTTCCTTTCCCACGTTCACGGATATGTCAGCTGGCTATCCACGTGAAACATCATTTGAACAAATTCTTTCTACAGGCAGTGGGACTATCTAATCCAACACCCAGATTGGAGAGAAACATTCCCTTCCAAACAGCCACGTATATTTCGAAGGACAGAAGATAATAGTTGGGTGAGGCACCGCGCGAAATTCAGCAGCTCATCTTATGCATACACTGATTAAGGACGATTTGTTCAAGGTCGAGCTCTAGGGGAAATGAAGGTCGTGCATGTCTTATGGTATGTTCTAATATTACTGGTACAACTGAAAGAGGAAATCGTACATTAACTTCTTCGATTTCCTTCCATCTTCAAAAGGTTTAAAAAGCTCAAGGGTGATATCCCCCCTCTCCTTCTGGCACCCCTGCTTCTGTGGAGAAGGGCAGGATTCATAGCTTAGACTTACCTCTTCATGCTCTATTGATAAAAGAAGCTTGAAATGACTTTGCCAATTTTTTAAATTGGATTTCCTAATAGATTGTTGGATAGGATAAGGTAGCAGCTATAACTAAGACCTCCGTTCGCAACTTCACATGCTCCATTGATGAGCCAAAACTTGAAATGATTGTCAATTTTCTTGTTAGGTGTTGTCTTATTAATTGTTTGATACAATGATTGGTTTTCAGAGAGTTTGGCAATTCCGGAACTGAAAGGAACGGAGAACTACCATTGTAGAAGTGAAATTTTAAGGTTACAGTATATGTTTTGTATATATTTTAGAGAAAATCTCACTTTATATCCATTAATTTCAAACTATTTACCCTTCAATGTCCAGACCCAAACTACTATTCCTACTCATGGGGCCCAAACTATTTACCCGCTAATTCCAGTTGTTGCTTTGCCAAAGATGGAAGCGATGAATAATATCAAAGCAATAAGGTTCTATTTGTTAGGCTTACAACGGGAAGGAGCTATTTTCTCAAGAAAGAAAACAAAATAAAATTAAATTCAAATGCTAGTTCTTGGTTGTAATTTTTGTTCTCCTTATCGGTTTGTAATATCTACAGTTTGACTTCGAAAGGAATATTGAGCAATACTACACTAAGCGGAGATCATTTCAGGAATATTTTGAAGAAACAAGAAAAGTAACAAAAGTAGCAAAGAGAACCATAAAGGCTACTAACTAAATCTACCTTCATTCATTCCATTAGTGAACCATAACAAAGTTTAATCATCGTCCTCGCTTGTTCCTTTCATAAACGCCTTTCGTCCTCCACCACCTCGTCGGAGAAAATTTTATTTTTGAAGCTTCTTGTTTGATTCAAAGTGGGTGCTGTTAAATATTGCTTATAGTACCTTCTGGAAGTTCATACTGAAATTTGATAGTATTTGGAGCTTATTTGAGGTGATTGAGATCGAAATTTTCAGTTGAAAATCGAAGAACACAGCTACAATATACCGCTACGGTATACAATATGATGTAGGAGTATATAGCTATACTGTAACAGTATACTATTATAGTTTACAAAACAGTATACCGCTACAGTATACTAATATACTATAAGAGTATATAGTTATACTGCAACAATATACTATTATAGTATACAATATATTGTTATGGTATACTGTAATAATATGCAAGATACTGTAACAATATGATGTAATAGTATACAATATACTATAATAGTATTCTTATTACCCGTAAATTCACTTGCCTTTTCCTTTTTAATTTGTTTTAAGCTTTTACACAGTGTGAGGGGCAAATTGGAAATGCAAAAATAAAATAAAAATTATAGTATGCTATATGATGTAACGTTATACTCTTACAATTAGATCCTTTTAGAATTTTTTATTAACAACTGATATTATTTCAGTTTAATAATTGAATTAATTTTTTTTAACTCTTTGCGTACAATTGTAATCCTGTTGGTGTAGCTATATATTATACTGGTATCATATATTAGTTAATATTTTTTGGGTTGTATGAGCTACATTTAATTGATACACAATTTGATTTTTCTTTAGTAGTAATATAAAAAAAAAAAGAATAATACAAAATAGTGAAACAGTAAATGAAATTAGATTATGAAGAGAAAAAGAATATAAAAAAAAAAAGTTAAATAAAATTAGAAAAGGAAAAAAGAAAAAAATAAGAAGAAAACGAGAGGAAAAAAAGGAGAAAAGAAAAAAAAGAAAAAAGAAAAGAAAAGAAGCATAGAAATAAAAAAGAATTGGAGAATAAAGAAAAAATTCCCCATAAAACCTACTATGGGTAGAAAATGTAATTAATTTATGGGTAGGGAAACAAATTGGTAGATAAGGGTAAATAGTTTTGTTTTTGTGGTTAACTGTGTCAAAACCCCTATATTTTATGGACAAAAGAATCAAACTATATTACTGTCTTTCATTTTAAGTGATGGGTTCATACTAGGAGTTCAAAGTACGAGAGTCAAACAATTTAATTCTAATTGTTAATTCGAACATAAATCATCTAGTTTTTAATAAAATTAAATTTTTTGAAAATGCATAAGTACTTTAAGTTACGATAGTTAGTATTTTAAAATATTTGGGAAAATTGTAATAAAGAAAAACATCTTTTAACTTTCCAAATGGTAGTACTGTGGAACAAAAGGAATAAAACACCTTCAACATGGTTAAGATGTTTGCTTAATTTCCATTAGAGCTCCTGTTAATTCAGTGAGTAGATACTGTTGCCTGAGTCTCAAGAGCTATTCTTAGCTACTACGTAATAAAATACTACTAAACAGAGATATAAAGGGGGCTTGTTATGAGCTCTTTAACATTTCTCAATTTTGAAATCCAATTATTTTAAGGCGGCAATAACAAGATCCTACCAAAGGACTTGTGTTTTCCGGTGACGAATGGACTGTCTAATACAAGCAATAATACACTAATACAGCACAAACAATATCCTTTCAAGGTTTATCCTTGTTCTATCTCCTATTGGCAAACAATATTTTTGCTGATACAGAGAGTATGAAAATCAAGCCAATGGCAAAATGGCATTTCTCTCCAAACGTGCATAAGCCTTTTGCAAAATGTGCACACATCTTTGTCTTAAATGGGCCACTGGAACCCCGAGTAAATGGAGCGGCGTTCTTTGGCCCACCTGTAGGTGTATCAATATTGGAAATGAGAAATTCAAAAATAGCCAGATTTACAAGTGGTCGTTTAAAAATAGCCCAGTTTCAAAAGTAATCGAAATTTAGCCACTTTTCATGTAAAGATAAATCTGAGGGAAAACACTGTTCAAAACCCGAAAAATACGCCAGTATATTATGCTGGAGTTCCAGCAAAATATAGCGGTCCAGTATAATATGCTGGAAGCTCATACACAAGTGCTCGAATCTCCAGTATATTATGCTGGAACTTTCCGTGTGTTGGAGTTCCAGCATAATATGCTGGAAGTTCATACACGGGTGCACCGAACTCCAGTATATTATGCTGGACCGGTCTCTGCTACAGCAAAATAGTGGCTATTTATCATTGATTTGGTAAACGCTGACTATTTTTGAATGACCAGTTCGAAAACTGGCTAGACCGTGCTATTTTTACGCTCCCTTACCATGGCACTGGCCTGATTGATCTGATCAAAGGTTCCTTGGAGCTCAACATTCCTTTTATTAGTATCTCTTTCGTGCTCCTTTATAGAGAGCTTGACACCAGTAAGCTGACATATTTGTTTTGAGTTCACACCATTCTTCCCTATGATCGCTCCAGCAAGAGAGGCATCTATATATACCAATGGTAGTGGTCGGGATGGTTCAAGGTATCCGGAGTTAGCTATGAGCAAAGTGGCACTTATCACCAAACTTGCACCCTTCCGCAGTGTTGCAACACTTAGACTTCACAGCTGGAGCAGGACCATCACTAAAAGAGGCACCATTCCTTCCAACTGGAGCTGCTGGATTCGAACCCATGTTTGATAGCTGACTCATAGCAGTGTAGCCAGGAACATAATGACATGCCTCCCCAAATGAGCATCCGGAAGTGCTACACCACATCAGGAAAATGGTTAGCGTACGCGTGTGGGGCAGGTAGAGAGTGCTTGTTTCCTTCCCTTTTTTACTTTCATGATGACATTATAAGTAGTGCTCCAACAACATTTGCCTTGTAAAATAAAATTCTGCTTGCTGCTGGAAATCACTAGCTTGCTATTCCAAATGATAAGGTTCAAGCGTTACAAAACATTAGAACATAGATAAATCAGTTTAAGAAGATGGATTAAACATGAAACCTGAAAAACTTCATGCATGGCTTTGATTTGCTTCCTACTACTCCTACACCAGTAGTAAAGGATTCTGATTCTGTTGCAAAAGATTGATTATTTCTTTTCAGTTCATAATTTCTAATGGCATTTGCAATATATTAAATAGATTCATATATTCACACAGTACAATTCTCCATACAACACAATTTTATCATTATAAAAATTCAAAAAATCACCTAAACTTAACTGTACTCATTAAAAAAGATATGCAAAGACACCGTAGGATGTTCCGGTTAGTTACATAGAAGGTTACTCACTTATAACATATTGCAGGAAACCATAATCTTATCATTCTAACCACAAAATAACTCAACTTTCAGACTCAGTGTTGTCAAAGGCGCGCTTAAAGCGCAATTAAGCTCTGAAACGAGGCTCAAAACATTTTGAGCGTTTCGCCTTGCTTTGTGGGTGCTTTTGGTGTCGCATCAAGGCTCTAAGGCATACTTTTCCTTGCCAATGAGCGTAATCCTAAAATGGCGATATTAAACAATTGATATTTCGTTTTATCGTAACTTTTTTCAATTTCTTTTTCCATATATTTGTTCTTTATGCTTATACTAACTATTAGTCTTGGACACATATTTTTACTTTTTCCCCGGTTGCGCCTTTTTTCATTAAAGCTCACGCTTTAATTGCGCTTTGTGCTTAAAGCCCCAACGGACCTTAGAGCTTTTTTTACGCTTTTCGCCTTTAATAACATGCTTCAGTTAAATTTCTATATTATCATTTTTGCCCCATTCCATTAGAAAATACAATTTTAAACTTCTAAATACAACACGGCGTACAATAATAAGTGCATAGAAAAGAAGACTTAGAAAAGAAAACTAACCATCTCTTGCTCTCTTCATGCCCCCATTGCTACCAAAAGAACCGTTTACTCTACTCTTCCTCCCAAACTCCATTATTGCTCGTTACACGGAAAAAATGAACTAAAAGAAAAATATACCCAGAAGAAATCTAATAACTTAACAAAAGAAAAGGTATGAATTTGTGTTTTCAAGTATACATATACATATAAGGGAAAAGGGCCAAAATTATCCCTCTACTTTGGTATATGGATCGCATCTACTCTCCGTTATACTATTGGGTCGCATCTACCCTTACTGTTAACCAAACTTTTTAAAAATACCCTCCACCTAACGGAAAACTACCAAATTAAAAAAATGACACGTTTTCTTTTTTAAAAACCCATTAACTTGAATGACTTGAATCCATACCATTTTTGTGAAACTTCGGCCAAGAGATGAAAAATATCACATTTGCAAGGAAGTCGAAAGAATCAGGCTCATAATTGATAGACCAATACATTAGAAATCAATCATAATTATAGGTGGTTTCTTCTAATTCAGCTTTGTATATTATATTAAAACCTTTAGTAACAATGAGAAAATGCTACAAGGACTTAAATTTCCTTCATCATGTTGAGGTGGCCGACAGAGCGAGAGAGAGGAACTTATATCTACATTTATATATTCAATCAGAAGAATAAATAGCCCTCATGGATAAGATAATAACCCGTCCATATTTTCGTTGAGTCTTGATTCAACATCATTTACAAAATGGAAATAATTTCGAGTCTCCCTGCATGATAATGCCCTCAATTTACTAATACTAGTGTTAGAACCCGCATCCATACGTGGATAATTTAACAGAGCACTAATTTTATAAAATTATGATCTATATATATATTATACTATTTTAATAAATATTACAGTTGTTATTTTATTATTTAATGTAGTGCACAGAAATATAACAAAATCTATAGAAAATCAAAGGATACACATCATATAGTAATCAAAATTTGCTTGTTTCTTATTTATTCTTTATTAAATTAGCAAGTGCTTAGTACGAAAAAGGGTCAAATATATCCCTGTACTATTGAAAATAGTTTAAATATATCCTTCGTTATATTATTTGGTTATATCAGACCCTATAGTTATATTATAAAACAAATATACCCTTAGTTTTAACAGAGTGTCGCGTGGCTGCGCCAGATTAAATTGACACATTCCTTTTGTTTTTGCCCCGGTTCACTTACAAAAATACTACCCGACCCGAAGTCCACCCCCATTGTTTCTCTCTCTCCTCTTTTCCTCATCTCTTCTCCTCACCTTACTGTTACGACCATGGCCGAAAAATCCACCGGCGACCTCGCTCTCTCCTCTTTTCCTCGTCTCTTCTCCTCACCTTACTGTTATGACCATGGCCGAAATCTCCACCGGCGACCTCGCCGTAAACCATGGAGAACCTTCAGATTTGTCACCTCACGCCTTCTATTCGCCTTTCTCTATACCTACTATATACACTTTTATATACGGATCCGGAGAAATACATAAAAGAGGCCGGAGATTTGGAAGTTTTGGGTCTAGATTTTACTGGATCTGACCGGAAATACATTTTTTCCTCGAGTCATTTGTTCTCCTTTTTCATATTTTCCTTTTATTTTATATATCCGGAAGGGAGACGAAATAAATAGCTGAAACTCCGAACTTGGTGTTTGATTGGAATCTTGTCGAAGAATTTTCTGGCGACCTTTGTGCACATGTTCCCTTTGACCGTGCTCCATTGTGTGACGCCTTTGTAGCAGCGTCTCAGCCTCTGTTGGTTACTTCATTTTTTAAAACCAAAATTTTGGAATGTGATATCGAAATTAATCTAATTGGTTCTGGGATTAGATTTTTGAAAATTTGAAGAATCTTGATATCCATCTTATTAAATTGCTGGAGAAATTGAAATTTTTTGTTATTGCCATGGTCTCATCACAGTTTTGTTATTGCTTCATCGGGTTTTACTTACTTTGTATGTTCTATTTTGATGCTTCTGTATAATCCATTTTTTACAGTTCTGACGAACCTCCGATAATTTATGCAAAATCATTTATTTCTTGTTTTTGTCACTAACAAGTGAACTTCGGATCGGATGGTATTTTTTGTAAGTTGATAATTTTGGCCCTACATATAATGAACTGAGAATATGTTATATGGTCACAGAAGAAAGTGGTGGGGGGGGGGGGGGGGGGGTAGGGGTAG